GATACTGGATTATAAAATGCCTTCAAATGTTTGTACAAAGGATGTGATGTACATGAAAGGTAGATAATCTGATTGCACAAAGAAGTTAATAAAACGCACTAAATTTCACATCAGCAAAAACCAAGGGAAGGCATTTCAGTGTCTTTGAATTCTCACTACAAGCAAACTGCCCTGGTAATTTTAATGGGGGAAAAATTACATGAATTTCAACAGACCCTATTTTTTAGTCAAATTAGCAATTTGAGATGCTGCATCATCTTTTTCAGCATATGAACCACAGGCTTGTCATTTCCCAGACAGTACTAATACCAGCCCGGTAATTATGTATCTGTCCCTTGCAATCAGCACTACAGCTTTCTCTTTATACTAGAAAGATTATAGGGAAAAAACACTTGAGAGTACAGGAAGGAACTGTCACCTGTGTAATATGATTGGTTAATGGCTGCATAAAGAAAGAACAGTTCCTTAATTTGTATATATAGTTGGTGAATAAAAATGCTCTAGTTCATTTGTCTCTCTGATTGAACGGAGCTGAAGTTTTGGGTTCAAATTCATTCTCTGTTACTATGGTATCTAAGTAATATGTACGTTATTCCTGATTTCTTGCTTCTGTGTAACATATGACCTATTCGGATTTTCTGAATGGCTCAACTACAACTGTTACTCTTCATTAGAACTGCCCAGAACACTTTTTAAAGGTTGACATTTCAATGGAATACAAAAAGAAAGAAATGTTAATATTGGAATTTTTTTTCAAGTTTTTTCCCCTGATTTTGCAACCAATTTTAGCTACACATTGATGAATGCACATCAGATAAATGTGTACAAAATTAGCAGTTTTATACTACTTGGTTTGCCATTTGAATGCACAATTATTCACAAAAAGAACAGCCCAGTAGCTCAACCTTTTGGCAAGCTATGAACAGTTGAAAAAAGGGTCTTAAAGAAAAATCCCAGTAGCGTGAAAGCTGGTGGCAAAATTCCCACTGATTTCAATGGAACCAGAATGTCATCCTTAGAGTGGAAATGTTTTGGCAACTTTACCTTCAATGAATTTTAATGCCAATGTGCACAGAAGAGTAATTAAATTATGTGAGGTATCAGAAGTCAAAATTCTGTTCTCAGAATCCAGTCTAAATCCACTAGCTGCTCCAGTGGAGTTAGTCTGGATTTCTATTGGTGTTTATGAGAAACAAATCTTGCCACAGAAATTGTTTATGATTATATTTGGCAATAAATTCCATCCTGATGTATGAACTAATTCCTCACTCAAGAAAAGCCCCCTCTAGTATAACGATTTACAAGGTTTCAAAACTAATATGCTGTCCAGTACTAGGCAATATTCTTTTCATCTCTGAAGATTCAAGAGCCACAAGGGTTATTTTCAAGAGCTTTGTATATTGGAATTAATGCTAAATCACAAATTCCACCTGTCACAGAACTTGACTGGAGTTGGACCAAGATGTAGTTTGTTGGAGTCATCCAGATGGCAGATCATCTTTTCACCACCAAATCATGACTGCAAGGATGTAAATCGTAAGAATTACAACAAAGAAAGTAATGAAAGTGCACCAAGGGAACTCTGACTTGAATCTACTCTGAAGTCATCACTACAACAAAGCCCTTTCCAAGAGGTGAACCAGCCAGATCCACTATTGAACTGTGCTCCCTGCAATGAGATGAAAAATGTGCCACGTTTCTCTGTTTTCCATCCAAATATTCATTTATTTTCATGTAACATGAGCTTGCTAAATGTCTTCGCTTTCAAGGTTCTCAATATGTTTTCCATTCACTTAAGATCATGCTTTTAATAATTGGATGTGAAGCAAGATCCTGTGGAGTGTAAGTGTAAAACCTACAAGTGCTTGGAAATTCAATCCTCTCAATATTTATGGTTAGCATTAAATATTTCATGCAAAAATAATGACTTCAGCTCCCGGGGTTTCTCTCCATTATCTCCAAAACTGTTCATACATATGCTCAGGGACCTCTACGTAAACATAAAAAGGGGAATTTGCTGTATGTACAGTAAGTTTTGCTTTACAGCATGTACACTGGAAGTCACTGAGATCTCTTTTATTACAAACAGATCCCTGTTTACTAAATCATCTAAAGCTTTCCTTTTCTTGGCTATCATTGAAGTGTAAGAATTTATATTCCCCTTGTAGGAAATTGAAATCAAATATATTTTATAAAGGACCCCACACCAAGGAATCCAAAATTCTTCTCAGTCCAAAAACACTAATTATTTTAAAATAAAAATATCAACCCTCTCAACTTTGTTAAAGGTTCATCAGGACCTTTTCCAATCATTTTGTCATGTTAAATGGAGGAGGCTGCTCTTAAAGAGTCCTCCGTGATGTAAAATAAAAATCTTAATTCAGCCTGGGGAGAGGGAGGGACTACATATGTTGCAGGAATCAGTGAAGAGAGATGAAGAGAGGTGACTTCTGTGCTACGCTGCCTCCACTTCCCTCTTATCCATTTTAACTTCTCTGGAATAATTGCAAAGGTCAAACCCACTGACATTTGGTTCAATTTTTACTGCAGTTTCACAAGGATGAAAGCAAAGACGTGTTGGCAAAATGAAGGGTGCGGAGAGCATAGGGCTTTGCAGACAGTATGGCATTATGGCCACTGACCTTGTCACTTTTTGTTTTGTTTCAGTTATTGTCATTTTTCACCTTTAAAAAAAATCAAGAACATAAAACACCAGAGAACATTTAAAAATCATCCTCTTGCATTGCATAACATCACCCTACTGGGACCCAGCGTAAGAACAGCCAGGATAGAAAATACCCTTCTAGTTCTGTTGGGGTTCAGGACTAAAGTACTGTAGCTAGCAAGCAGGACGTTGGCTGCCGTGGTTCCCCTGCTTTTCCTGTGGCAGATTAGGGTGTTCTGTCTGCATTGTCAGGGTTGAGTGTAGTTGTACAAAGAGTTTAGATGATGGATTTGTATGGGCTGGTTTGGATTGGGATGATCCAGCCTCAGGCTTGGGGTTGGACAGGGCTGGAGGTCCCTTCCAGCCCTACTTCTCTGTGATTCGGTCTCTCTATGCTAACCAACAAAGCCAGAGCTGCTGTGGAGATTCACAAGGGAAGGGACTCCAAAAAAGTGCAACACAGATCACTCACATCAGTACAGCATTGCACTAGACTCTACAAAAACCCTGTGTCTTTCTTCATAAACAGACGCCCCAGTGATACAAAGAGCCAGCCTTCACCTGATCCAGCTCTGTCCAAGACTTTTCCAAGCATCTAAGCACTTCAAAGTCAGTTGCTCCAGTACTACAGTGATAGGCAGCCTTTAAATGCTGGATGGCCAGGACAAGGGAGAAGCATAACTTCTGGGGTGGATGCCAGCTAGTTGGGTTTTCTCTGATTTAAAAAAAAAAATCCCCAATTTTCAGATTTAAAAAAGTAACCCAAAATCCACATTTTTCTATGATCAAAATGAAATACTATTAATAGATAGATAGACAGATATACACACACACACTCATGTATTAGTGGTGTTTCGTTTTGATCATGGAAAAATGTGGATTTTGGGTTATTTTTTTAATCTGAAAATTGGGGATTTTTTTTTTTAATCACCAAAAACCAGGATCCCCACAGGTAACCAACTAGCTGGCATCCACCCCAGAAGTTATGTTTCTCCCTTGTCCTTCTGGCCATCCAGCATTTAAAGGCTGCCTATCACTGTAATACTGGAGCAACTGACTTTGAAGTGCTTAGATGCTTGGAAAAGTCTTGGACAGAGCTGGATCAGGTGAAGGTTGATATTATATGTATATATAATATATGTATACACATACATATGTATGTATGTGTGTGTGTGTGTGTGTGTGTGTGTGTGTATGTGTATATATATATAAAATATCAGCCTTCACCTGAACCTTCACCACTAAATATTTATTAGTGGTGTTTCATTTTGAACATGGAAAAATGTGGATTTTGGGTTACTTTTTTCGACCTAAAAATTGGGGATTTTTTTTTTTATCAGAGAAAACCAGGATCACACACAGTTATCAGTGGGCTACAAGTAGGGTAGGAAGTGGAGAGGAGGAAATCGGGAGAATCACTGCCCAGGCAGTGCAGCTACCCTCACTGGAGATGGGCAGGACTTTGGGTCTAATCCCCTGTCGCCCATGAAAACTGTCATAGGACTCTTTAGTTGGTTTCACGTCCCATCAGAAAGACTGGGCTCCAGAAGCCCAGCATCTCCCCAGCCCCCAGCCTTTGCTTGTCTGGTCCATGCCGATGGTGTTCGCCCTAAGGAATCGGAGAGGTCAGTCCTTGCCGAGAGATCGGCACACTTAAGCTTCCCCAGCCAGAGAAAAGGAGTGTGGTGGGCGCCGTTGGCAAGCTCGCTGCCCGCTTGGCTAGGCGGCCGGTTGCTATGGGACAGGAAAGCGCAACACACTGACCGCTGCGGCCAGGCGGAGGGCGGAGGAGCCGGAGCCGCGTTGCTGCAGGTGAGTGAAAGGCGCAGGGCCCCCTGGCCCCACAGCTGCGGATGCCAGAACGCTGTGATAATGCTTTGGAACGCTGAGATAATGTTTTAGAACGCTGGAGTAGCAAGGATTCGGAACGCAGCTGCGTCACGGGGTGGGAAAGCTGAGTCGGGGCGTGATGGGGCTTGGGCTAGAACTTGATCCGGAGCGGGGCTGAGTGGTCAGGAGAGACGGGGGGACCGCAAGGAAGGGAGTAAAGAATGGACCCCTCTCGTTTCTGAACCAGCGAGAACTGCTCTCCTCTCATTAGTTCTTGATGTCACTGGAAGGCAGACTCTGACAAGAAAGGGAAGTGAGTTTGCAGGCTGGCAAAAAACCAGGGAAATCTGATTGGGAAGTGAGAGGCTGGTCGAGAAGGAGGGCTCTCTGTTCGGAAAGTCTTGGACGGGTTTGAATAAGGCTACTTTTGATATTAAGGTAAATAGTTGCACTCTATGGAGACAACTTTCTGAGTGGTTGTTACTGGAAGAAGTTTCATGGGACTCTAGATATCAAACAAGGTGGCTACTGTAGCATTAATTACTGCTACATTTCATGGATTCCCTAGCTTTTATTGACCTTCTCCAAAATTTGCCCTTCACAGTCTTGATTTAAAATAAAAACATTCCCAAAAGGTGGCCAGAAGAACTGGTAAAAAGGTGAGGGTTTCTCAAAGGCCAAGCAAATTGGAGGGGAAACTACTAGGTAGGGTGAAGAATAGGATATATTTTAGAGAGCTCAGCAACATCTACACAAAGGCAGAGTTCAGTGAAAAGAAGTGGCAAAAATTGGCAGGCCCATGCTGCCCTAGACTTTTTCAAAAAAAATCTCTCCCCCTCCTCAAACAAAGGCAACAGCCTACATAGACGGACAGTGCTTTGATGAATAACCCTAAATTATGGGACTGGGATATCAATCTGGTTGCATTGTTGTACTCTGTCTGTTCCTTTGAGAATAGGAGTTGTGTCTATCTCATAAGTCTTGAAAGAATAGAGCAGACCCAGGTAGGTACGTTGCACTGTTCAGAACAAACAGAGTAAACCAACCTTCTGGGTATATATAAGTATCTAAACACAGAAGACAGGCCTTCATCTGAAACATGGTAATATACACAGCATCTCTTTAAAACTTTTTAAAATAATGCATAATGCAAGCTTGTTAGAGCAGTGAACATTTCTCGCAATTTTTGGCTGACTCAAAGAGACCTAGGGAAGTGAGTTCTGGAATCACGTGTCAGCTGTTTGTGTTGTTCAGGAATATCCCTAGGAGTAGGAGCAGGTGGGTTTAGCATGTGGGTGGATTTAATAGTATCCAACTTTCTTCATAGTTGTTCCTGGTTCAGACTGAACTCTGGTAGGATTATGCTGCTGATTCTATAACATCTGGTTATAGAAGAAAGTTTTGAAAAATTGCACCTTTTTATGAGATCTGCTCATAATATTGGTTTTCTAGGTCCATATTTTGGGGGCCCTGAATGATGAGGTGACTTATTGCTGCCAGTGTAAACTTAGAGTAACTACACTGATTTAGTTATAATTGCTGCACAATCATACAGTATAAACAGAACTGGAGACTGCCCCACAGTTTCAACATGTAGTCCTTACCTCTGGTGTGTTTTAGTCTGACTTCTGACTTATGTCACAGCATTTTATGAGGTATGGGACAAATTTAATTTTTATTGCTATATTTGGGGTGTTGGAGCACGATGAGACTTGCTGTATTGTGGTTTTCATAGTTTCATAGTTGGTAGGATCGGAAGGGACCTGAGCAGATCATCAAGTCTGACCCCCTGCCATGGCAGGAAAAAGTACAGGGGTCAAACAACCCCAGCAAGGTGTTCGCCCACTCTCCTCTTAAAGACCCCCAGGGTAGGAGCCAGCGCCACTTCTCTTGGAAGTTGGTTCCAGATCCTAGCTGCCCTGACCATGAAGTAGCGCCTCCTGATATCTAGCCTGAATCTACCTTCTGCCAGCTTGTGACCGTTATTTGTAGTCACTCCTGGCAGTGCTCCGGGGAACAGGGACTTCCCCAATGCCTGCTGGTCCCCTCTGACTAGTTTGTAACAGGCCACTAGATCCCCCCTCAGCCTTCTCTTGTGGAGGCTGAACACATTCAGGTCCCATAGCCTCTCCTTGTAGGGCCTGCCCTGCTGCCCCCTGATCATGCGGGTGGCCCTCCTTTGGACCCTCTCCATGTTGTC